ATTATCAACGTGCAAGATTCACTGCAGATATCAAAGTCCGTAGGAGTGAATATCGTCGCGTTTCATAAATCGACTATGGTCCCTTGGCCGTTGCAAAATGATCAACGTCCAGCGAAGTGAGCCACCGACGATCGGGCGATATTCCTTCGAATTTCGACTTATTTTTGAATTTGGCGATCATCCAGATGCATTTTGCTACCGACGCTCGACGCCGCGATGACTGACGACACGTATCGGACCCTACTACCAGTGAATCCCCATAAATCGCGGCTTTTATATTTATCCCTATGTGCTCTCGATCCGCGAGCACGTTAAAAGCACGTCTCGTCGATTTTATCAGCGGAAAAAAATCGCGTCGTCACTTATCGAGGAGAGCGACGGGAGCGACGCGCAAACCGCGGTTTCATTGATTCGTGGGAAAAAAAAAGGAATCTACAGGATGCAAAGCGGCAAATTACCGTCACGGAATCCATGACTGCGTTCTTTCGTAACCGATATTTGACGTCCACGTGTTTCACGATCTTCAGCGTCAACGTATGTGCGATTGTTGCGTAACGAGATGGATACAACGTAGCCGCGCGTTACATATCACGCATTGCGTCAGCTTGCAAGATAAATTATTGACGTGCACCTGTTTTATTCATACGCGGTGTGAGATCGCGAATGGACCTCTTTGACAGTTAACTATCTCTACGACGCTTAAACTATCTCCTCGACGCTCAACGAAAGTATAAAAGACATATCGTTGCGTGATCGCGCCCGATATCGCGCTGCCTCGGTATCCGTTCTGTAATACGCGGCTTGATTGCTGACCAAACTAAAAATAATAGTTTCCCGGAAATCCCGTCGAGCGATGTCATTCGATGCCAAGACAAGTATAAGCCTTAATAATCACATATACCAGCTTTGTACAAGTGTACGTTAAAATAGTCCGCGTTTATGAGACAGCGATACGACGCTCGCTCGGTATTTTCGCGGATGGTATAAGCACAGCTCTTATGTGTGTCGCATTATGTAAAAGCTCCGTTCATTGATTACTCAATGAAACACGATAAAAGATGATTGATTGGTTTGGATATCTCGTCTGCCGTTTACGAGTACGATGCCTTCTCATTAATATATTCATAATGCACCAATGACGAGGGAAAGAATATCATATAATCTTTAGTGTCGCATTGGAACGCGCGTTAATGTTTTACTGTATGTTTTACTGTATGTTTACAGTGGGAATGTCCATTTTTAAAGAGCCGAGGTTAACGGAGAGAAATGATATTTGGTTACAAAATTCTTTTTTTTTTTTAGAATCGCGCTATTAACATTTGGACAGGAACATTAGTATTGAATGACCGTCACTATATTTTAGCTAGTAGCAGTGTTTACGATAACTCGAGAAACAAGTGTAATAATCCACACTCGCAAAATTTTGCCAGTCGGACGCATTTAGCGTCACTTTGTGAATGCGAGTGAGCTGTCGAGATTGACATATTTGTTACAAAGATCTGATTCTGATCGTAAGTCAATATTAGCCCTCGCGATGACGATGATCTGAGATTGATGATCCGTAAAAATAACCGCGGATGCATCTTTGTCGAAAGAAAGATGGAACCTGGCTTTCGTGGAAGTACGGAAATCACTCGATATTTCGAGAGATATATAAATGTACTCCAAACTAAAGTGATCGTCATAAGCGAGAGAGTGTTAAATTTTCATAATTCGTCTCGCCCTTCAATCACTTTCGTCACACTTTTAAACTTTATTTTCTTTCTGCTACTTTGCGACTGTTATTTCTTGAGTTTTGAAAAATCTACTAGCCATTCCTTTAATTGTTATCGATTTTGTGCATAGTTATTAAGGAATGTTTCTCGCATTGTGAAACGCATAGTCAAATCAAGTTGCTTAAAACAGATAAATCGCCAATGTCGAACTACCACCGCAGAAGTGGCCATATCTATTTTTCAAGGATACCGGGCCAAAGGAAACCATTAATCAGCGTAATATCAGCGTCGCCCACGGTTTCTGGATGTGGATCAAAATCGGTACCTGGAAAGCAAAAGAGACGAATAGACACGTCGCTCTAATATGTTACCGTGAAATCGCCTCGTTACCGTACCATTGTTAATCCCCCAATTATATTTGCCAAACACTCGTCCAACTAGTGTCCAAATTGATGTTGCGTACGTCCACTGATTAATGTGCTTCGTTAGATTTGGCGCCTTTGACCATTTCATTCTTTGCGCGTATACTGTAGATGTAGTTAAAACCAGAGACCAAGTATGCATCATGCGTCTCTCGATAATTACGAAGCCCGACATTTTTCATAACGTAACAATGATTAGCATGAGTCATCGACCTACCTTGTAGTGGTATACTCTACCGGCAAGTCCATTATTAACCGTCCATTATTAACCGTCTTTGGTTGTGTCTGTGTAACGTGGAACATAGCAATAACGTAATGATTCGACCTCCCCCTAATCACTCGCCTCTAAGTTTTTTTACCCAGGACAAGACGGCTTTCAATGGATCTGCTGAATAGCGATAATCTTTATTTTCTCACGATTAAAGAAATTTCCGCGTTAGTTGTAGCAGCCACAGGATTTATCTACGCTGTATATTCGCCTAACGTTTCGTGCCCCCGCCCTGTCCTCTTCCCCTCTGCGTACTGTATCTCCGACGTTCGTCGCATTTCCGCGTATGTGTGTATGTGTGTGTGTGTGTGTGTGTGTGTGTGTGTGTGTGTGTGTGTGTGTGTGTGTGTGTGTGTGTGTGGGTGTGCCGTGATGACTGCCTGCATACACGACACAGGCGAAAAGTGTACACGCGCGTGTAGCTAATCGACGGTTCCCAGGGAGCACGAAGGCTTCGCTCGGTGTTTTCAGCGGCCTCCGCAGGCGCGATCCCACGGCGACTTCCGGTTCCGCGCTGACTTATCCACTTCCCGTTGCTACGACAATTTTCCGCGGGTACCACGCAGAAGAGGCACTAAAAAAGAAGAAGAAACAAAGGTAATAATAACGCTGTTATGCGCACGCACAGGTCACGGTTCGCTCCTCCGCGCGAGAGATTCGAGCCGTTTCAGGACCTTATCGTTCGCTCTTAATTATGCACGGCGCATTAATTATACATTAATACAGGTGAAATCTTGCATCGTTATGAATTATGAATGAACGCAGCCGCGAAATATTCGCGATAAGACGGCGCACAATCGGGTGAAAATATCTCGACGATTGTTTGTTTAAAGGAGGACTGCGTTAGGGATCGGCGCGGAGGAACGCGAACTTGCCGCTGAGGGAGTTAACGCTGAAATGAGACGTTACGTGCTTTCCCTTCCACTTGGTTTACATCATGCTCAACATGGCGCAGGTGCTTACCTGGGGAGTCAGGATGCAGCCAGGCCTGTCCGTTCGTTCGTCTGACCGTCGTGCAACTCAACCTGAAACCGGAAGCGCCGCTTTCTGCCCTGCTGCCCACGAACAATGAGATCGAGAGAGATTCCAGGGAGGACGTGAGCACGATCGAACTACGAGGTGTTTTATCGACAGCGAGGATCGAAAATATTCATTTCTCTGGCTGGAAACCTACGAATTGAAACGTCACGTCCAGTTGTATAAGCCGTGCCGTATTTAGAATCGCGTCGCTACTCTTCTTTTCTCTCTCTTCCTTTCTATATTGCTTAAAAACATATAGAGGAACCGGAAAACCAAGATACTCTTTGCCACACGTTTTCAGATTAACTTTTTTCTTTTTTAAATCGTTGCTATTAAAATTCTTTTCATATCGTAAATGATAAAAATCGGAACTCTGTCAACACTTGAGAATTTATATCTTTAGTTAACTTATAATATAAAACAATATAGTCCTTTAGAGGAAGACAGATAAACGCGGAAGAAAAGATGTTGAGTCAACAGCAATTAAAAAATAATCCTGTTGATTCAATAATAATAATATTAATAATATCAATAATATTATCAATAATAATATCAATAATAATATTAATAAAATAAATATATATATGCTTTTTTCATTACTGCCATTAAATCAACTAGATTACTTTTAATTACGTTTGAAGCTATGGACTCAACAACGTTTCCGTGTATAAGAGAGCAAGTTTAAATATAGCTTTGATAAAGAAAGATATAATTTTGAAAGTAGTTTACATATGTAGCGATGACATTTTATGCATATATGTCGATATATTGATATATATCGACATTTTTCGTGATATGATGATCACGATGTTGAACAATGCGGCGCATCGACAATCGAAAAAAATCTTTTCACGGTCACTACGGGATCACGTGGTACGCGTACGTGTAGCAACAGGTGTGACGCAACAGGTAATCAAATGCCGGTATTACGATTTTCTCTTCGTCGAATCGATTGTTTTTTGCTCCGACCTGCGGCTTAAGATTATACTTTGTATATTATCTCTCGATGATCGTTTCAACAAAGAATGTGACAAGCCTATTTATTATTTAGAAAGCAAACGCTGGAGCGTTTTCAGTCCTCTTGTTCATCTATTTGATATATTTTTTCCATAATTTAATGATATCAAAATAACAAAAAACGTTGATTAAAAATTTGATAAATCGTTATCGCGAATGACATGCAAACGGACTGGTAAGAGAAATAAATATTATCGCGTAACGTTCATATTGAACGGCGTGCTAAAACAGTTTGAAGCGAGTTCCGAGCGAAATTTCATTGAATTCCATACTGATTTCACCGATTCCGCATAAAAGATTCGAGCGAGGAATCTTTCACGGAGTTGTCGACGCTTTTTCCACGAGGTCCCGACGAGCGATGATGATGAAGAGTGCGCATTTACCTTGCCTTAGCTGCGCGACAGGTGGTGTGTGACACGACTTAAGCCGCATTGCGAATCTGCCTGAGGACCTTGACGCGGCCTTTTTTCCCGGACATTTTCTACTTCTGCCTTCGTAAGGTCCGTTTCCGGTTGGTTCTGCCTCCCCGTATCCTCTCCTCTCCTCCCCTCGTCTCTCGTTCCTGTCGTCGACGTCGCCGTCATAGTCGCGGCGCGACGAAACGGGCATTTCGCTCGGCAAATGCGCCTCGCCGTGACTCTCATCCGCGACGCTTTGCAGCGTGTTCTTGCACAGGAGGAGGTCGTTGCTCGTTGCCAAGTTGCGGTTGCTTGCCACGTGTATGCACGGCGCCTCCGCGGCTCGCGGAAAATAAAGAGAATAAGGGCGGGCACGGCCGGTGCTCTCGTGGCAGTTGCACGAAATGGAATTTCAGCTAGGTAAATTTATCACACCAAGTCGAATCTTTAGAAATAAACTTAAAAGATTAACTTCAAAAAAAAAAAAAATAAATAAATTACTAGAATTGATTTCATCGCTTGCTATCGGAGAATAATTTTGCTATTATTCTCTAAGTGTGCTTAAGTCCGATTATGTGTCCTGTTAAGTGATTAGTAACGATGGTAATTTACTTAGAAATAAATTATAAAAAGTTAGATAAAGTAGAGTTAGATGTATGATATTTTCTATACAGATTATATTACACGTCTCTCGAGAAAAGTCGAGGAGTAAAATAAATCTTGTCTCACATGCAGAGCTGGTAAGAACCGTAGTGGAGTAGACGATGTTGGCAATGACGTTCGAACGATGTTGCTCGGTCCATGTGAGTTTCTCCTATACATACGTGTTTGATGTTTATAAACCGATAGCGAGCGTCGGTGGATGTTTCATACGTAGACGGATACGCGTACAGAAGAAAATGATTTCCTGGGCTTATCGCGCCGTAAGGCCGGACGCTGTGTATGACACGGGAGCTCCACGGGCCTATTGCTTAAATCCCCCGTGAATTCTTCCAGTGCCATTTACAGAATCCAAGCCAGTAGACAAGCCAGCGGGAAATCATACGAGGAATTTCCATCTCGGTTACGCCTTGCTGAAACTCTGACAAAGAAACTTCGAAAGGTAATAATCGATACCGGTGGCCTTCGAGGAGAGACGCAACGTATGTCGCAACGTTCTCCAGATGCACACGCACGATCGATAGAAGCTCACATTATGGAGACTTTATCTGCAAGACTAATTATATTTTCTAAATATTCAAAGCGTATTCTTTATTCTAAAACTATTATCGAGTCAACGTCGCATTGAAAGACAAGTTCGTGATAAAACAAAGCGAAAAGATACAACGGCCGGTGATAAAGACCGCGAGCGTTGAACAATCGTAACGAAGCGATATAAAACGGGCTATTAATCTCAGTATACAATTATGACAGCGGAAATAGATCTCGATATTAACAGGCCGATATTAACAGTCCAGGTTTACTTTGAAAACTTTGAATCGTAAATCACGGACTGGAACTAGATCAATTCGATTTGCCTTCGTAGAGGAGAACAAAATTCGAAAAAACGAACTCGGAAAGGTCGACGAAACGAAGTCCTCGAAGGTAGTCCAGAGCCTGTCGACTGTTTCTTTTCCCCTTCTTGCTCTTCCGTCACGGATCGACTCTTCCCGGAAGCTCGCGTCTGCTAGATCTCGCGGAGCGCGCCATGATTTGTTCTCCAGGCGTTCTCCACGCTCGTCCTTCAAACTCCTCGTCTCGTCTCGAAACCTCTCCATCTTTCTCTACTTTTGCCCGCTTCTCGATTTGCTCGCTCCCACCCACAAAATCGTTCCCACCGATTCTTCCGGTTCGACCGGAGCCGTGCTGTCGGGTTCTCCACGTCGGGATGTGCCTCATGTCCTCTTCGTCTTTCCGCGGGCTATAATCTACTAAGCATCCATCTATCTATTCTTGTCTCTCCTCTTAGTCAGTCCTTCTACTACACAATATAACAGAAATCACACAGTATTCTTCAATTACAAGTCTAAGATTTACTAATAAATCCAAACTCGATCTTTCTTTGTTAAAAAACTTTTCACATTAAAAGTTACAACATTTAATTTTGCAGAAAAATAGATTTCAAGTGCAATTAAATGTTGTAACTTTTAATGTGCATAACATATTTTACTGCATGTTTTACGTTTTCTTGTATTATACTAATTTTTCACGGTATTGTGGTAATTAATATTGAGATGATAATTCTCATGTCTCATCTAGGATAATCGATTACCAATGGTCAGAAGAATATTAAAGAACTAATACTTCAGTTATCGATCTTTCGCATTGAGAAATCCCAATCCCCTTTTTTGCCTCTAATGAATCGATAGCGATTACAGCGTGTAGCTTAAATTTCATCTGTTTCATGCCGATTAAGATAAAATCGAGCCACGATCGTTGAAAGTGATCGAGATGAAGTTCATGGAGGAATCGATTTTGCGTGTAACGCAGCGAAATAATTTATTTTATGAAACGAGAGAGTATAAATCCGAGGGAGCGCGTTTCTTCGAGTTTTCCCACCTGGTTCTCACGATTCGAATCTTCTTAGTGCACCGTGTATATACTTGCGATTCTTCGCTGACTATCTGCAAGTCTCTCAGTTCTCAAGCCATTCTTCCGGTCATGCCATCATTCTGGTTCTCACGGTTTATTCGAACATCGAGAAACGCGGCACGGAAATAATGGCTGCTCGCTAAAGTCTTTTTAATACACCGCAGTTAAATACGCTGCACAATAATTATTACTTCGGAAATAATCTGATCGCATTCCTTCGTTGAACAACGCTGGTGTGATTTTTCTTGGCTCGTCGGTAGGTCTTATCGAGCCTGCATAGTCGTAAAAAGAGATGTTAAGTGTGTCAGTCGAAGTTATTCGTTGGTCAATTCGACAAGAGACATGCGTTTTCACGCACGTTTCTTTTACAAAACTGCGATTAAAAAATGATTTATTTCCAGAGTATTTTGCGTAATTTTATTGTAAAAAAATTTTTATAAATATATTTAAAAAAAAATATATTTTATTTGACTCGTATATAAATTTTATTCTGTTTCAAATAATATAGTTCAATAAGTAGACGAATTTTAATAACAAAAAAATAAATATTGTCAAAAAATAAAAATTATAATTAATTAAATATTATTAATTAATATTATTATAATTTTTTGTAAAAACATTAATAACCCGAAAATAGAACACTTTTTTGTCAAATTGGTGATGAAACTATTTTAAAGTGAATATATAATATATTTATTACAGTCAACTTAAGATTAATGAAACAAGAAAGATGAAAGAAGAGTTATAGATTTCTCTTTGAATATGCAAAACTTATCCGTCGGGATTGAGCCAGACGTAAAATTTGTGCCACGCAAATTGAGACACAACGGTTGTGTTGTCAAGTCGACAGGGTCTGTTGATTTGTATAAATCAAGACCACACAATGGTTGCGAAAACACAAACGCGTGTCTCGGGCATGTTTAAGCTCCCATTTCGCGATCTCGTAACTCTTCGAACAGGTTTTGTGTGACCTCGACTTCTCTTCTCGTTGGAATGCCCACTTCTCTTCGTCTTTCTTCCATGATCCGTGCTACGATCCGCCGCGCGATCCCGATCCCTCTTCCGTGTTTCGATCGACGCACGGCGATGAATCTGTATCGAAGGCACGTGATTAAAGAGAAAATGATCTGGATGTCGACGATTCGTGGATGTTGCGTTTTCGTAATTTCTTCAGCACTGAATTACATCATGAATTTACATTTGCCGATCATCAATACTGATGATCGATGATGAAATATTAATTGCGTGCAAATGCGTTAGTATAATAATATCCTATGTATCCTAAGAACAAAATAAATAAGGTTAAACTCATTCTATCTCGCATTAGAAACTGCTTTCTAATCTTCATTCGCATTTTTCTTCACCTATTTTTTATTTTCACCAGAATAAAAATACTTAGCTGATAGTTTTAAGCGTGTGAAAAAGCGATTTTATATCCGTGAATTCGTCCGATGCGCAATAAGTATCGTTATTATCGTTACTCTCGACGTTGAGTGTTGGGGGAGGGGGGGAGGGGGAGGAGGGGAGGAAAAAAATTTGAGCGGACAAAAAGTTCCTCCTTGGATTAGAGAGAGTAGCACCTCGGTGCCATGACGAAAGGATTTCACAGTGACGCAACGATATCTAGGACGAGAGAATAGATGAATGGGGAAGGAGAGAATAATTGGCGGTGGGTGGGGTGAAGCTGTGAAAACAATAAAATATCAAACGGTCCTCGGGACAAGGGCCCCGACGCTTCGCGCGCGCTTCGTGACTTTCGAAATCTTATTAAATCACGATGTAGACGAACGTAGCCGTCGCGAGCGGGCAATATGACTGCGAGAGCGAGAGACCGATAAATTGCGGCACGTTGTTGCATTTGCATATTTGCAAAAGTGACATACGCGACAGGCTAAAGGCCAGAAAACCCGCACTTATAATTTCGCTCGCGGTACGCGTTCTCTCTCATGCCGCACGCGGAGTTATGTAATTTTTAACGATCCGGCTGTTGCATGTTTTTCTGTTACCTGGCAGAATCTCGCGAGATTATTCGCGCAAAGCCTCTTAAGCCACTCTCGCACGATAAGTTCTCGATAACCGTCACGGCTTTGATACATCGAAGCCATTTATAATTCGTGCTGCCGCACGAAGGCTGCAATAGCAAGCTCTCGTGAAATCGAGAGAATTCGTCTCGTCGTAGTAGAGTAACATAATTCCGGATTTACGTAATCGCCAGACGGGAAAAGAACGCTCGTCGTTCGCGATCGGCGAAACGAGCGGCATTAACGCGCGATTATTTTTTTTCGCCCGCGATGGCTCCATTCTTATTCAGCGATTTTTCAGCGTCGATGTTTTTCGCGGTGAGGTCGGAGCTGGCGAATAACGGTCACCCGGTACTGGAGGACACTGACCCGATGAAAATCTCGGATACACAAGAAAGAGAAACCGTTGGGAACGTGCCCCTTAGCGAACACCAAAGAAATGGATTTCACCGGCGATCGTTACCATCGATAATAAAAAACATAAAAAAACAAACATTTAAGCGGGATACGATCGTATCTCGCTTTTAGCGATGCGTAAAAAGATCGCATTACGATTTCGCCTGAATCTGGAAAAGATAATCGTGTAAAGCTTTATTCTCGGCATATGAAAAATCGCAGACACGTCGCTTATGAGTATTAAATGTCTTTCTAATACTTTAACACGACTACTTGAATAACTCTGCCTTGCAGCGATCGAGTTATTCTAACTGCCGACCGGTTTCGATCTAAAAGGGATAAAGATGTCGATCAGACTCAGTCAATTTTCCCGTCTTAGCAATATCCGCTCATCAATTACCCGCGCTCCGCTTTTGCTGTATTGAGAGAGAATATACCTCATACTGATCAGTATCGGTAACAACCTCTTCCTTACGATCCTCTTCAGACCGGTCATGCGTCTTCTTTCTCCTCCCAAATACGCGCTGCTACGAGCGGTTCGTCAAAATCTCACTGTAGCCTGGGACCGAAATCGCTCACAACCCTCGTAGTTGGCGCGAAGTAAGGTACGATTTTCAGCGGCCGCGAGAATCTTGACGCGATCGATCGCGTTTCTTCGTTCTAAATGGGATACAGCTCGCGCACCAACATCCGACACGGCACAAACGACACGGCGGAGAAGAAATGCGCACGCGAAGGAAGAGAAAGAAAGAAGAAACAGATGGAAAATGACGAACGAGGAAGACGAGCCGAAGACAAAGAGGAAGAAGATGAAGAAGAAGAAGAAGAAGAAGAAGAAGAAGAAGAAGAAGAAGAAGAAGAAGAAGAAGAAGAAGAGTACACGCGTATGTACGTAGAGAAAGGAGGCAGGAGTACGAGAGAGGAGAGACTTTTGCGAAAAGTCGAGTGTGCGAGTGCGCGAACGCCGGGAGAACTCCGAACCGGTTGCTCGAAGTGACGTGAGTGAACTGAGACTACGGGCTGGCAGGTAACGCCAGGTAAACCCCGGCCGACTGGTGGCACACACGCGGGAGAAGAGGAAGGCGGCCGGCTGGGTGGTTACACCGGCAAAGCCAGCCAGCCAGCCAGCCAGCCAGCCGTAGAGACAGTCGGCACGGTCAGTCGACCTGGGGAGTCAGCCTGCGGCCCCAGGGGCCGCAGGAAAGACGCGCTGCGTTGGGACGGAGAGGGACCGTGGGACGTAGGACGGCGACGGCGGGAAAAAGATGAGAGGAAACAGAGGGAGGAGGGTGGCGGAGGGGGCGAGGGGGCGAGGGGGACCTCGCGGGGCCCAGAGGGAACGCGTTGCCTTGTGGTGGGACAGGGAAGAAAGGTGGGAGCGGCAAGGAGAGACCCGGTGCGCGCTGTGTGTGACTCAGCTCGGAATGAGCGAATAGGCCAACAGCACACAGCAAAAGCTGCGCCGCAAAGGCTGACGTTGTATACGAGATACACATGTATACGTACTGAGTGATCCAGAAGAGACTCGGTATCTCGAGCCGTGCGGGCTTTTTCCGGTATCGTCGCTACGGAGAGAGCGACAATCGAGACGGTCCCGCGTCCAGCGGTTTGGGCTTACGTAATTAGAGAGGAGTACGTTGACTCTCACGATTTGATGTAACGATCGCGCGTGTCTCGATGACGACCCGGTAATGATTTCCCTCGAAAATAAGATGCGCGTGTCCATTCGTAGATGTAGAGCCATCCGCGTAGGAAGCGTTCTTCAAGCGCGCTTAGGAAGGGAATCGAGAGAAGTTCAAAGAAGACAGCCGTACATGGATTTAATGTCGTTCACGGTTACATTAATATTACGGATATAATCTCTTCGCCTGGCTGGTGGATTTTATACGCGCGCCAAATCGTAATACGTGGTTTACACGCCGATTACATATGCGTCATGGGAATAAGTTTCCACGGTTTATTTAATAACGTTCACGCTGCAAGTTTATGCTT